GAAATAGTTTTGTAGATCTGTTGTAATATGTGATATCACTACCGGATCAATGAGCAGAGACTCATTTAATCTCCAGGTCGATCTGCCGGTAGCAGGAAATTGTTCGGTCAGAGTTAGAGTGATGGGGGCATGATCCGACCAAGAGATAACGCCAATATCTGCGTTTATTAGTCTCATTAATGACGTGGCTTTAATTAAGAATTTATCAATTCTAGAATAGCTGTTGTGTGCAGCAGTGTAACATGTATAATCTATTTCTGCCGGGCGTGATATCCTCCATGGGTCTACAAAGTTGTGTGTTGTTAGTGTTTTTGCAAATTTGGGATGTTTGTTTATATCATTGTTTTAGTGTTGTGGTGGTTACCCTTGTTGAGGTAGATGAATCCATATTTACGTCCAGGAGGAAGTTAGTGTCGCCTCCAAGAATTACCTCCCCAAAGCTGTACCTTGACAAGAAACAAAACACATTATCCATGAATACAGGTTGACTTTCGTTTGGGCTATAAACATTCATCAACGTATATGGTTGGTTATTGAGACGATATTGTAATATCAAATATCTACCCTTTTTGTCTCTGATTTTGCGAATGAGCTCGAAGACAACAGATTTATTTATTAGGATCGATACCCCTCTTTTTTTTTTGTGGTAGCAGGTGTGGTAGTCAACAGGGAACCAAGGGGAGGTAAATCTGGGTGTGGATCCCTACTTAAAATGGGTTTCCTGAAAAAACGCCACCTGTGCCCCCTGTCTTTTGGCCTCTTGGAGGGCGAGTCTGCGTTTGTTGGGTGTGTTTAAACCTTTGACGTTTAGAGAGAAGAATTTTAGTGGCATATTGCTTGTCGTTATGGTGATGATATTAGTGTATACACCTATGTACTTTCTCCAATAAAGGAGTATTTTGGGTGTTATATATTGTTACTTAAACTGCGAGAGGTAACTTGGTTGGGTACGGGGATGGGGTTGGGGTAAAACTATGTACACTTGCCCGTTAGCCACGAGGGCCTGATGCAACAATGTGCAGACGGGTATTTAAAGGCTCACTTGTGGGCCTGTTTTGGGGGTTAGTGGTGGCTTGGTGTAAAGATAAATTGGTACTCTTAAATGAGAGAGGTGACTATAGTCTTAATCTTAGCAAACGTAATCTAAACAATAGCAGTTGTAGTACAATCTAAGTTGAAACAGTTTGAGTATTCCACCATTTGTGGGCCTATGCTAAGGGGCCACTTGTGCGGTATAATTACCTATTATTTTTTTTATTTTTTTCTGTTTTGGTTTTTGTACATTAGAACATTTAACCCAGCTAAATAGCAATACAACAACATTAATGCAAGTGTGATGCGTTACGTGTCTTGGAGCGGAGTAGGATGGTGTTCAAGGCTGATAGTTTCTGCGGCCTTGTGGAGTATTGTTGATCCAAGGGACTTGTTGCCAGTCTCTCGCCATTTTGCATGGTGGCGGTGTATCAGTCTTTTGTTTTTCATTCTGCGGAGCAGGGATAGGAATGTTCCAATCTTCCAGAATCTGTATGCCATCTTCAGACGTGAGGATTGCGCGGTCTGTTCCGTTGCGTTTGACGAGCAGTTTGGTAGGGAATCCCCATTTGTATAAGATGTTGGCATTTCTGAGGGCTGTCGTGATCGATGTGAATGAGCGCCTTTTGTTCATTGTTGCTGCTGAGAGGTTGATAAACAATTTTATGTTTGAGTACTCTTCAGGGAGAGATTAATTAAGTCTTGATGTCTGCATTATTTGACTGTAAAATAGTGGAGTCTGGTTATGACGTCCCTTGAGGTAGTTGTGGGCAGATGTCTTGGCTTGGGTAGCCTGTGGGTTCTGTCCAAGCGAAGATCCGCATCTGTTAATGATGGGATTAGAGATTTGAACAACTTCTGTACGTAGTGTGTGAGATCTTGTGGACCTATATTTTCAGGTATTCCACGTATCCTTATGTTGTTCTGTCTATCTCTATCCTCATTATCTGCAATTTTTCCTTCCAGGTATTTAACTTTGTTTTCCAGTGCTGTATGTGCATCTGCTAGCTCAATGTGGGCTGTTAAGATGCCCTCTGTCATTTCTTCCAGGTGAGCTTTTCTGTCCCCTATTGCTTGTATGTCAGCTCTAATGTCTGCTGCTATGCGTTGGAGATCTGAGAATAAGGCTGATTTTAGTTTGTCAAGCATGGTACTCACTGAGGCATTTGTGGCAGGGATTGAGGATTCACTGCTGTGGCAACCCAGGATGTCTTCCGTTTCTGCTTCATATGTGGGTGAACCATGCGTTCCGGCGCCATCTTGGTCACATAAGTGCTCCGTTTGTTGCGAGCTGAGATGTGAGTCGATCATTTTCTGTTTTAATTTCTTGGAGGATTTCGTTGCCATTGTGTTCAGGGTAGGGCTGGAGGTTAAATGGGCTGTTTTTGGTGGCAGAATTGCTGTGTTCCACGCTGTAGGGCCCACAGTTTCGGCGGAGCTCTCTGTCTATGCGACTGTTTCCATGCGGTCCGTGGCCACGCCAAATATGTGTATTTTATTGCAGTAAAAGCAAACAGTATTATGACATTCACAGTTAAAACGTCACGTAGAACTAAAATAATTTTTTAAAAATCTTATTTTCTCCCATTTTTTTTATATTTTATTCATTTTAAATTATGTTTCATAGCTAAATATTTGATGTTAAATGAAAGACCCTTTTCCCCTGAATAAAATGATATATAATAAGTGTGGGTGCATTTAATATGAAAGGGTTGAATTACGGTTGGACACACACATAGCGCAAATGCCAGGTTTTGTTTACGTTCTGTTTTGATCAACGTGCAAAATTAGATCCCAGGCCCTTTGAAGGCCATATACATGTGCATTAAATAAATGTTAAATATAACTCTCATATAATACGGCATTCCTTTGGATGTGTATATTGTGAAGACCTGTGTATCAATGCATGTTTGTATTTGAGTCTGTGTTAATGCACTTGTGCATGTCTGGATGACTACATGTGCTTTTTTGTATATAGTATAAGTGTGAATGCATATGTGTGTTGAGTGTTAGAGTGTGTCTGCATGTGCACGGGTGTGGAATATTTTTAAAAAATCTACTTGTCCAAGGGGGGTGACAGAGTGTGTGAGGGAGGGGGTGACAGGTGGGAGAGTGAGGGTGTACCTGGTGGCAGAGTGAGGGAGGGAGGGGGTAAGTGGTGGCAAAGTGAGGGGGAGACACAGTGAGGGGGGATGACTGGTGACAGAGTGAGGGAGGGGGTGATTAGTGACAGAGGGAGAGAGGAAGGGAGGGAGTGAGGGAGGGTGGGGTTGACTAGTGACAGAGTGAGGGAGGGGGTGACTAGTGACAGAGTGAGGGACGAGGTGACTAGTGGCAGAGTAAGGGAGGGAGGGGGTGTCACGTATTTATTCGCATATAAAAATGTAATTAATGACATTTACTGTTCTGACAGGAAAAGTTGTGCCGAGCAACATTACTGTCCTGACAGGAAAAGTTGTGCCGAGCAACATTACTGTCCTGACAGGAAAAGTTGTGCCGAGCAGCAATCAAATCCACAGGAGGGTTTGTGCTGAGCAGCAATTATGCAAATGTACCTGGTAACTGCCTTGGGGGTCAAAGGCCGACTACAGCCTATCAGATCCAGAGGAGGGGTGTGGTGACATTCTGTCATCAAACTAATATGGTGACCAGGGGTCATGTGACCAAGCTCATGTATGCCTTTCTTACAGGGGGATAAGCTTTACCCTTTTGACATGGTAATTGGGTAATACAATACCTTTACAAGTCTGGAGAGAGATAACCACTTCCCCCTTTCTCCATTCCTCTCTGTTCCTTCTTGGCTGTGCTGCAGAGCAGATGTGCAGACGCCATGTGCTAGCATGGTGGACCATATTACACTCTGTTGCTTCCTTTTCTTCCTTGGTGGATGTGATGTTGAACTTGCAGCAGTGAGCCATTACTAGATGTGAAGGCCTAACCGTGGGTGAGATCAAACGTGTGGGGAAGGGGATTACTATATAGATAGATAGATTTAAAAAGGGTTGTTGCTTCGTGGGTCTGGGCTGTGTGTTTGTGATACATTTATAGTATTGTGTTGTTGCCTTTTAATAAATACCTTTTAATGTAGACAAACCTTGTGTAATATATATATATTAATTTGGTGATACACCACAAGGGGTATTTAGGCCCAGTTCTCATCCTGCTCAGTGACCTGTAGTGGTTTCCCTAGTGGTTGTCCGAGAGCGCGTTCCTGATTCAAGTTTCTTCTGTTTTTTGACTTTGGCTTTGATTTTGACTTCCCTTTATTCTGGGATCCCTGACTTCTGGCTTTCCCTTATCGTTGTGTCTCTTTCTGTATCCCCTGATCTCGCCAAGTATCCTGACTACTCTTTGGTACGTTAAGTCCGGCCATTCTAAGGCCCAGTAATACGTTACCTATTAGTCATCTGTGTGACACAATTCTACATGGGGGTGACTAGTGACAGAGTGAGGGAGGGGGTGACTAGTGACAGAGTGACTCTTCATCTTCTACTTTTTATTTCCTCCCTCTCTCTCTGCTCCCTCTGGTCTCTCCCAGGCTGCTGCTCCTTACCCTTGCTGGCTGTGAGAGGGCTCTGTATGAAAGGAGACTACAGGCCTAGCCCCACCTCTCCCCATCACACAGAGCGCCACGTGGGACAGGAAGAAGGAGACCTGGCAGAGACAGAGAGCAGGTAATGAGGGGAGAGGTAATGTGCAGAGCGGTAGGTTGCTGGGGACCTGCGCTCCATCAGGGGCCCCAAAACCTATCAATAGAAGAGATCTTTTTTTTTTTTTTCATTTTGCTGTTCTGGTTGTAGAGATCTCTGGTCTCTCCAGCTGGAGCATCGCTGGTCGGCCGGGCCCCTGGCTGCAGGGGTCAAGTCCTGGGGAAAAAAGTGTGGGAACTCACCCAAGATTCCCGCCCCGCCCCCCCCCTTTAAAAAAAAAAAAATTACACTCCTATGCATATAGTGCAGTGCAGGGTGTGTATAATGAATGTAGTGTGTTTGTAGTGAATGCAGAGTGTGTATAATGAATGCAGTGTGTTTTTAGTGAGTGCAGAGTGTGTACACAGAATGCAGTGTGTTTGTAGTGAATGCAGAGTGTGTATAGTGAATGTAGTGTGTAGTGAGTGCAGAATGTGCATAATAAATGCAGAGTGTGTATAGTGAATGCAGAGGGTGTATAGTGAATGTAGTGTGTTTGTAGTGAGTGAAGAGTGTGTATAATGAATGCAGTGTGTGCGTGTGCGCGCTGGATGACGTGTGTGTGAGTGCTGGATGATGTGTGTGTGTGCTGGATGATGTGTGTGCGAGTGCTGGATGATGTGTGTGCGAGTGCTGGATGATGTGTGTGCGAGTGCTGGATGATGTGTGTGTGTGCGCTGGATGATGTGTGTGCTGGATGAGTGTGTGTGTGTGTGGGTGTGGATGAGTGTGTGTGTGTGTGCTGGATGGTGGGTTGTTTGTGTGAGGTGCTGGATGATGGGTGTTTGTGTGAGTGCTGGATGATGGGTGTGTGTGTGCTGGATGATGTGTGTGTGTGTGTGTGTGTGTGGGATGATGTGTGTGTGTGAGGTGGCTGGATGATGGGTGTTTGTGTGAGTGCTGGATGATGGGTGTGTGTGCTATGATGTGTGTACTTGTGTGAGTGCTGGATGATGGGTGTGTGAGTGCTGGATGATGGGTGTTTGTGCTGGATGATGGGTGTTTGTGCTGGATGATGGGTGTGTGAGTGCTGGATGATGGGTGTTTGTGTGAGTGCTGGATGATGGGTGTTTGTGTGAGTGCTGGATGATGGGTGTTTGTGTGAGTGCTGGATGATGGGTGTTTGTGTGAGTGCTGGATGATGGGTGTTTGTGTGAGTGCTGGATGATGGGTGTTTGTGTGAGTGCTGGATGATGGGTGTTTGTGTGAGTGCTGGATGATGGGTGTTTGCGTGAGTGCTGGATGATGGGTGTTTGTGTGAGTGCTGGATGATGGGTGTTTGTGTGAGTGCTGGATGATGTGTGGGGGGGGGGAGGATTTTTTTAAACTTTATATTTTTTTTTATTTTATCCCCCCCTCCCTGCTTCTTACCTTGTCAGGGAGGGGGGAGATCGCCTGGTGGTCCGGTGGTATGCTGGAGGGGCCATCACGCAGTGTTCCCTCTCCAGCTCTAACTCTCGCGAGACTCGCCTGTGCGGAGCGTTGCCATGGTAACAGCAGCGGGTCTCGCGAGAGTTATAACTGGAGAATGAACACAGCATGTGACGGCCCCTCAGTGCAGGGACCAGGGCCGGTCCTGCAGGACAGGTAACGGGAACGGCGTTCCTGCTATGGAAAAAGTGCAGGAACGCCGTTCCCATGCGTTCCTGCAGGACTCGAGCCCTGGGGCCTGGACTGCTCTGGCAGTCCCGGGCCCCACTTTCCCTCTCTGTACACATAGATAGCGAATATCGCTATCTATGTGTGCAGCCGCGGGCCCCCGGCTCCCTGTTACCGCAGAGGGGGCCCAGCACACAGCTTTTACTCTCTTCTAATAACTCTTGCGAGACCCTGTTACCATGGCAACACTCCGCGGGTCTTGCGAGAGTGGAATCTCCCCCCTCCCTGGACACAGGTAAGAAACAGGGAGGGGGGAGAAACATTTAATTTAATGTAATATACACTAACACAACACACACACTGCAAACACTAACACAACACACACTCTGCATACACTAACACAACACACACTGCATACAATAACACAACACACACTCTGCATACACTAACACAACACACTCTGCATACACTGACACAACACACATTGCATACACTAACACAACACACACTGCATACACTAACACAACACACACTCTGCATACACTAATACAACACACACTGCATACACTAACACACACTGCATACACTAATACAACACACACACTGCATACACTAATACACTAATACCATACACACACTGCATACACTAATACAACATACACACTGCATCCACTACACACTAACACACTCACTGCATCCACTACACTGACACACACTCTGCATTCGCTACACATAAACACACTCTGCATTCACTACACTAACACACACTCTGCATCCGCTACACTATCACACACTCTGCATCCACTACACACTAACACACTCTCTGCATTCACTACACATTAACACTCTGAATTCACTACACAAACACACACTTTGCATCCGCTACACACTAACACACTCTCTGCATTCACTACACATTAACACAGTCTGCATTCACTACACTAACACACATACTCTGCATCCACTACACACTAACACACTCTCTGCATTCACTACACATTAACACACACTCTGCATTCACTACACATTTACACACACTCTGCATTCACTGCACTAACA